CAGCCAGACAGATGCAGTAACTTTCTACCAGACTAAAAAAGACACTTTGTAAAGTGTCCAAACTGACCCTAAACACTTTCAGTCTCCCGAATACAGTCATTGGCTGGCTTTTTGCCTCAATTAGTTTGCACTGTTGAGTATTTGATTATAAAGTTGTACAGTATATTCATCACTGTTATGGATTAGTTCTTTGTCCTTTTATCCACATTGTATTAGAGTCAGGAAAGACCTTATGTGTCAGTGTTTTTGATCTAAATATTTTGTGCTAATTGTCATAATTCACTGATTAAGTTACTCTCCATTTCACTGTTAAATGTTATACTATGTAAACACTAAAGATCTCATTTATGGTTAAATTTCAGCTTGTATTGTCTCACTGGACAGTAAGAAATAAGGGTTTTGCATTACATTTTACATTTACAGGGACATTTTTCGTTCATCAAGGTACAAACAATGTAAGTGTACCTTCAAAGGTACAACAGTGGTTTTAAGGTCCAATTGTGCAACTTAAATACGTTTTTCCAGGTGAAAAGTACATATTTGTACATATTTGTACCTTTTCATAACCGAATGTTTTAAAACAGCACAATAAAATAAAAGTCTAGAGACGAGACGGGGTGTGTGGAGACAGTACACTGTAATCCCGCATCAACAATTCTAATGACAAGATTTCTGTTGGTTTTAATTGTTTCTTCCTCATTAAAGTTGCTGAACAAATGTGTGAAACTGAGTGAAGCTAAGTAAAATACAGTTACATGTTTGTTTTGTTAACACGATTTTATTAGATAAAATGTATATTTCTTTCCCATTGGCTCCCGGCTCCATCTATTTGCATACTGAGTGTTTCTTTCCCTCTGTTTTACTCACCGTCAGTGAGCTTTCATTCCACCCATGCTGCCTTTCCTCAGGCAAATGTTTTTTGCATAAGCTTTACTCAGCTGCCTGATGTTGTGTTGCTGGTTAAGAGTGAAGGTTATCATTCTCTTTGCTAATGAGTGGGGATTTGTGTTGGTCAGTGACCATGTTCACAGTAAAGGTTAACCCTTTGATATTTGGTAAAGTGATTAATATCACTTAAATAGAAAACATTTCTCGATTGCCTAATGAAACATATAGTTAAATTGCAATTTCAGGACGTTAAATTAAAATAATTAGAATTTACGAGTTGTGCAAACGTATGTTTATGTTAGCCTAACTCAAAAATTATAGTTACTCTAACTCAAGTTTTCATTACACATCACTTAATTTTTTAAGGCAACCGGTTTCCTCAAATTTTTAAAGTAAATTCAACTTATCCAGGCTTACAGTGTACAACTTAGACAATATCATTTCAATGGATTATGGTTCAGTTATATTCCCGGACTAAAGGTACTGAGATGTACCCTTGATGGTACCACCCCAGTGACAAGAGGGGTCCTGCCCCAGTGACACTTTACTACTTTTTTTCTGAGAGTGGATTTACATGACTATTAAAGGAAACAACTCAGGGGAGCTCGTTTGATCTGCTTAAGTGTGTTAGCCACTGCTTAAGAACATGTAAAGCTTCATTCTGAGTGCCTTAAGTTTAACCTCTTAAATGGTCAGGGCCAAAAGTTTTATTACACACTTTTATAACCTAAGAACAGCTCAGCCAGTTAGCACTGAAGTTCCTGTAGTTACTGAATAAGTCTTAGTATGTAACAAGCCTGGGATTTTAAGGGGTTAAACACTTCTTAAGGGATAAACACCTTGTTGAAGCTGCAATGAGCGAGATCTAAAATACGCCACATGGAAGGCGCACTTTTAAAACATATGTGTTAAAAAACAACACATTCTGTCTCTAACTTGACACATCAGTGTGTTCAGATGGTGACAATACATTTTGTGTTACTTTTAACACAAAATGTGTCAAAATATTTTATACCCAGTTATGCGTCACACATTTTTAGTTGCTTTTGGACTGAATGTGTTAAATCAGAAAACAGTGTGACACAAAAAGTGTCAAACTGGGTAATACAAGTTAGTGTGTTGCTGTTTAACACTTTTTAGAGTGTGTCAGATGCTGGTCTCGTTTGGGGTCCTTTAAGAAATCACGTTTCTTCGTCGTGACCAATGAAACACTCCAGTATTATTGTGTTATTACTGGATAATTCACAGGAAGGAAGGCTGAGAGGGAGGGGCTCGTCCTTTTGGGGCGTGCAGAAAAGTGAGGAGTCCGGGGCTCGAGCGTGGAGAAGCTGAGCGAGAGGGTTCATTCATGAGCCATCGGCACCGATTCAGCACCAGCGCTCCGTGGACAGCGCCACTGGGGGCTGCAGCGCGCGCGCGCCTGGGCGAGTCCAAGCAGTGGCACTTCTTTCGCAGGACGCAGTGGATGCTGTTCGCAGAGTTACTTACGTCTATGGGCTCGAATTAAACCGCTCTGTGGTGTGAAGTGACGCGCTTTGCAGGCGGATATCGGATCTGTAAATATTGATAAGAATAACTTAGAGAAAAAAAGAAAAGAGAAATACGCGCAAGTATGAAGTGCGCTTTTCCAGCAGCGCTGTCTCTCTGAGCGAGCGGCCGGGCAGAGGGATCGCCTGTCCATGCAGGAGGATGCTGTTAGGAAATGCCTGGAGAAAGAGAGGATGAGATTTGTCGAAAGGCGCTGGAACTGCTGACCGAGCTGTGCTCCACTGGAGAAGTGCAGAATGACAACTGCATGGATTTTGTCTACTATTTCCGAGACCTGGGCAGACCGAGGTTCTCAGACTCGGGTAAGCACCAGCCTTCTTCTTCATCCTCCTCTTCCTCCTCCTCTTCCTCTTCTTCTTCTTCTTCTTCTTCTTCCTCCTCTTCCTCTTCCTCCTCCTTTTCCTCTTCTTCTTCTTCATCCTCCTCTTCCTCTTCTTTTTCTTCTTCTTCTTCATCCTCCCCTTTCTCCTCCTCCTCTTTCTCCTCCTCCTCCTCCTCTTCTTCTTCTTCTTCTTCTTCTTCTTCCTCCTCTTCTTCTTCTTTTCCTTCTTCTTCTTCTTCTTATTTATCTTCATCCATCATCATCACCTTCTCCTTCTTCTTTTTCTTATTCATCTTCTTCCTCTTCCTTTCTGCTTTTTCTTCTTCTTACTTTCTTCTTCTTCTTTGTCTTCTTCTTCTCTTTTGTCGTCTCCTCGTCCTCCTTTTTTCTCTTCATCTTCATCATCTTCTTCTTCTCCCCCTTCCTCTTCTTCTTCTTCTTCTTCCTCCTCTTTTTCTTCTTCATCAGCTCCTTCTTTTACCTCTTTTTCTTCCTCTTCATCACCATCATCATCATCTTCTTCTTCTTCTTCTTCTTCTTCTTCTTTTCTCAACTTTTTCACTGATGTTTTTTATTCAATCTTTGATTCTTTCACTAAAAAAAGTGATGCAGGCTGGTTTATCAGTTTGAATATGTATTATTATACTCTAAATGGTTCCTCAGGGGTTCCTTAGTAAAGGTGATTGTTCTGTAAACAGTCATCGATTTCAGTTCATAAATGGTTCTTTTCATGGTCAAATGTTTCTTCTCTATGATGGAAAACCACTTGCACATTGGTTCTTTTAAAAATGTTTCTATAAAGCACCAAAAATGGTTCAAAACAACCTTTTTGCTTAATGTGATCTAATGATTTCTGCTTGGTGTTGATATTACATTGACAAAACTGCTGGAAAAAGTAAATAAACTGAGCAAATTTGTGTTGATGTGTTTCCTTCATGCTTAAACAATGTACACCAGAATCAAGCAATTCAACACGTGACTGTTTTCACTGTCACAGTTTATAAGCTGCTAAAAAGCAGTAACAGGCTGCATCAGTACCAATCACACTTGAATGCCTCTAGTGCTTCCAAACTAAACTGAGCCTCAAAGCTAACAGGAAAACTGACATAAGAAGAAACTTTTCAATGTTGCATTAGCTTCTGCTCTCGGCTCCTGTCTCATTCTTCTGTGACTTTACACCCATGCACTGCTCATAAATGGATCTCATTGCTTTGCAAAGCCATTTTAAAAGGCAACTCTGTGAAAGCTGTGAATGGAGATGGACTTTGTTGACTGGAATGAGAGCCCCACCCTTTTACTGACAATAAGTGCTTTCACATCAGTGCTGAAAGCATTAAACTCACTTTCTGGTCTTATTTATATATTTATATTCTCTCTATTTCTGCTTTCTTTCAATCAGAAACAATGCTATGGCAGCAAAGGGTGGTTGTTAATTTGTCATCATATGGTCATATTCTTCTTCATCTTCATTATTATTATTATTATTATTATTATTATTATTATTATTATTACTGTATCTTAGATCTCAAACATCACTATTACTCTGAGAGCATTTAGGAGTAGTCTGAATTTGACTGGGCAGTGAGACCTGGCCACTATTTCCAGAACTAATAATAGCATCTATCACTAATTATCTCCCAATCTGACCAGTGAAAATGACCCATTTAGAGCTGTCTGCCCCAAATATTATACCAACACCACATGCATCATGCACCAACTATGAAATATAATTTTATGCACATACATGGTCAATATATTTATGACACATGACATGCAGTATTGTGCAAAACTCAGAGACCAGCCTTCATTTCTTTAATTTCCAGTCAAAACAGCTATTAAGTATGTTATTCATTTTTCAGAAGATAATTAGGAGATTAGATATACAGAGATATACAGAGAAAATGAGACTCCCAATCCTAACCTGGAAGACCTGGTAGACACCAAAACTGCCCCCATCAGATAAACAGCACTTGAAGCTTTCATCTTTGAGAGAGAGGAGAAAATCAAGCTGCTTCAGATCTGAAAACATCCACAGGTGTTTCTGTCCATCCTTCCACTGTGAGAAGACGACTCAGCGCTATGGGTCTGAAAGGATGTGTAGCTGATCAAGAAGAACCTCACTGAGAAAAGGAGATGGACACATCAAACAAAGAAGCTGAACAATGGACTGACCACCCCAGAGTCCAGACCTCAACACCACTGAATGTGTTTGGGATTATTTGGATCGTGAAAAGCAGAAAAACCTAAACCAACTTAAACTGAACTTTGGAGGTGTGGAATAATTTCGCATGCAGATTTCTCTGAGAAACTGAAAGTGAGTCTCCTGAAAAGAACAGAAAGGTGAACACACTAAATAAAGAAAATGTGATATTATATTTAGTTGCTGGAGCTTTTGTGCAAATCCTTATACTGAAAAATGAATATTGTGTACTTAATGACTGTTCTGACTGGAGATTAAATAAATGAAGGTTCTGTGATCTTTGCACAGTACTGTATGCACAAGGTCAATGAGGGCTTTATTACCACTGTATGAAGTTGTTATAAATGGCTGCTTTATTGAGAGTGTGAGCAAATTTGCTTTTTATGATGTCTATACTTTTTTCACGAAGCCTGGTTGAGCAGAAATGACATTAATCCATAATCTGATGGATGTGCTAACTAACATGTAGCAGGTGATCTTTCACAGGACAGTTCAGCACTACGGATTCGTGCCATTAAAAGGTCACCATTTTTTACTTTGGACAAAGGGCAGGATGTGTCCATGTCAAATAGCATTACAATCACATAAAGCCAGTTGCTTTTTCTATGACCGCAAGTTGACTGACCAGTGCACTAATGCTAAACATGACTGTTAGGCAGTTTTTCTTTTTTTGTAAATGTAAAGAAGTAATGCTCAAACTGTTACAGGCAGAATTCATTAGCCTTTATTCAATTTGGTTCTGAGAATTCATTAGACTTCATTTAATTAAGTCAAGTCACCTGCAGGGCCTCCCAAGTGTCCCCCAGCCTTGACCATATATTTCACCTGGACGTGTTCTGCTATATTTGAGCAGGAAGAGAATGTGCTATAGAGTGAAATGTGGCTGGTGTGCACGTCATATCTGACCTCTCCATTATTCCTATGATATTGTTACTGCCATTGCCAGGGGTGTCCACAATAACCCATTCTCCCTTGGGCCGCTTACCCTCAGCCCAAAGCTTTCAACCTCCGTTTCTCTTAGGAACACACAAAAGTCCAAAGCAGCTGTCATATCAGCCCCCCACCAACAACCCAGTAGCCTATAGACTGTCTTCAAACGCTGGTTGGTCCTTAGAGACCACTGTATATTTGACATACGATAGCTCTGCCGTTGAAGAGTTATTGAACCGTGCTCAGAATTTCTTTTCCCCCAAGAGAAGTTACACAAGGATCTAATGAAAGCGAGCAGCTGAGGCTGGCCCTGCACGGGACGCAAGAAATCCAGTAAATATACGTCCAGCCCAAAGGGGATCGCCACGGCTCCTGCAGAAGCTCCTTTATAGCACAAACGGCGCACTATAATAGAGCCCAAGGGAGCACGGCACTGTGAGAGGTTAATAACATGATGTTGTAATATTTATAGGCCAGTGACACAAGACCGTGCACAAACACACAAGCAAGCATTCATGTAACTGAAGATTTTGGCCATTGAGGAGACGAATGCCATATGTTAACACTTTGCTTGAGCTTTACTACATAACATTAATGTTAGTTATTAAAGCAATAAGCCTTGTGAGGCCGTGCATTACTGTGATTTTATCACAGGAAAGGTGATGAAATCGCAGTAATGCACAGCCTCAATTGGCTTATTGCTTTTATAAAACAGCGGCCAACATAAAATATGATAAAATGCACAATTGTTCAGAAAAAGTTATTATTAATAATAAATGACATAAACAAGTATTCCAACAACAAATATAGTTCCTTTCCGGTATCACTGCCAAGCAGCCATGGAGCTCTTAATGAGGAGAACGTTCAGTCGCCCTTTGTTGTATATTGCTGTCATTTCATGAATTTTTAAAACTTTTTGTCATATAACAATGCACATGTGATGACACAGCACCGTTTAATGTAAAAACCTTCACTTTATAAGTATTTTTTGGTCACCAAATTACCACCGCGAGTCGTATTTAGCACCAATCCAGCGGTGCCCCTCTTCTGACGCTGGGGCTGAATCTCAAATGGCTCTGTGCGCCCTACACAGTGCACTACATTGGAATTTAAATACTGGATCCTGCAGCCCAACAGTGCAAAATACATCTAAGTAACAGTCATTCAGGACATCCACACTCGATCAATGATGCACTATTGGGCTGTAGAGGCTAGAATTTCTAAACTTTCGTAGCTAGCACACTATTCAGGGAATATGGACATTTGAACATTTGAAGTGTGTAATCCATTCAAGTGACTTTTTTAGACTTTTATCCTGCTGTTTTACAGTTAATCATACTGTAAGTACTTTAATTCAAGCCTGTGATATTAATAATGGAGTTGCTTAGGTTGTTAGCTATCTTCAGGCCTATTAGCTAGCTGACCAGCCTTGTTCTAGTTAAGAACATAAGTTGTCAGCCCCTCAGTTTAAACAAAAAAGGGTTCTTACTTCATTAATATACTCAGTGGTCCATGCGAGCAGCATGAGAGTCAGAGATTTTTCCATTAACAGCATGAGGGTTTTTTGTGCCATGATGCAGTAATATACAGTTCAGTTGATGTGAGGAGGTCATAGGTGAGCGTATATCATGAATTTTACAACGGCTTCAAATGCGGCTCAGCCAATCAGATTTTAGGACTGGAGCTATCTGTTTTATAAGACAGCATATGACATCTTCTATGACATGTTTATGGCATGGCTTTAGTAATGTCATGTAGCAGCGATCAATTACAATGTTACCCCATATTAGTGGTGAACAGTGACTGTTAGAGCTAGGCCTTCAGTTTGGGCCATAAAAGTCATAACTCAG